AGAACAAATTAGCGGTTACAGTGGAGGAGGAATGGGGAGAGGGCAAGATAAGAGGATTAAGAGGTACAAACTACTACATATAAAATAAATAAGATACAAGGATATATTGTACAGCAAAGGGAATATAGCTAATGTTTTATAATAACTTTAAATGCAGTATAATCTATACAAATATGGAATCACTATGTTGTACACCTGAAACTAACATAATATTGTAGATTAATACATAAATAAATGAGCAAATAAATAATTTTTTAAATAAAAAAGAACCTATGGATAGAGAATTTTTAAAAATTTAATTGGTATAGTTAATCAGGCCATACAAAAACCAAAAATATATACTGTCACCCCTAGGCCCATTTTGGACCAGCATGTTATTAAATCTAACCTAAATGAAAGTTACAGAAGCACCAAAGACACCGTGGAAAACTTTAACTGGGGCCTCTGAATCAAAACCAAACTTTTGTGGGGTTTTGGAAAATATAGTATTTTTCACAAAAATTTTGTTATAAATAATACTAATAATGATAATAATAAAATTCGTTACTTGTTACCATAATGTTAAAAAGTAATGAGTTTTATTATTATTACTTTAAATGAGGTAATATTTTCTAAATTTCTTAGTTTTAATTTCAAATATTATTAAACATTGATAGACATGACAGAAGACAATCTTTAGGATCTTCAATAATTTTTAAGAGTATGAAAATTTGGTCTTGGACTCCAGGACCAAAATATTGGAGATTAATTGCCAAATGAAATAAATGTTATCTCCATTTTATAGTTAGTGTAGTGGGGCTAAAAAGGTCCGGAAGATATAAAACCCAAGCCTAATTCAATCTTGTTTTCCTTTCCATTCAGCTCTGTGGTGTAGATACTCACTTCCTCCACTGACACTAACATAATGGAAATCCTACTCTATCAAGTTTCTAAGTTGCCACGTGTATTTCTATTGCCTCTTGTCATCAAATTTAAACTTTTAAATAAAATCTCCAAAACTTGGAAATAAAGCAAAATATCACTATGTGCTTCTGCAAAGCCAAACTAGAGGATTGTCTAAGAAGCCTGCAAGGGGCTCATCAGATTTGAGAGGATGTCATCTTTGTTTCTCTTTTTTAATTGAAGTATAGTTGATTTACAGTGCTGCGTTAGTTTCTGGTATACAGCAAAGTGATTCAGTTTTACATATATATATATAATTTATATATATATATAATTTTTAATATTATTTTCCATTATAGTTTATTATAGGATGTTGAAAATAGTTCCTGTGCTGTACAGTAGGACTTGTTTAATTTATATATAGTTGTTTGCTAGAGGATGTTATCTTATTTGGCTTATTATTTATTACTGATAGGGCTTAGATTCTGTATAGTTGGATCTTAACTTGTAGGTGATAAGTTGCAAATGTCTTTGTCAGGTAGAAAATATTATTCCAAAGGTTATTGTTTTATTGATCTGTGGATTTAAAAGAGCATTGTATTTAATTTTAAGCTTAATCTGAAATTCTTTTTTCTATAGACTTTTTACAAGTTTCCTCTATCCTCCTTGAACTGAATTTAGCAACCTGCTGTTTGCCTCTCTAATAAGTTAAATAGGAAGAGTAAATAAAAGACCAGTTTGCCTGTTAGATGGGGAAGGGGTTGTTTCTGGTTTGGGAAGAACAGCAGGTGCAAAGTTTTCATGACTCCTTCAGAGAATTCTAAGAGGTTCATTGTGGCTAAAGCTGTGTTTCTCAGACTTTGATATACTTGTGAATCACTGAAATTCAGTAAGTCTAGGGCAAGGCCAAGATTCTGCATTTCTACAAGTTCCCAGGTGAGGCTGCTGCTGGTGGTCCGTGGACTACACACTTGAGTAACAAGGGGCTAGGCCAGAGCATAGGTGTATGTGGGGATGTCCAGAGTTGAAGACGGAACTGAGGGAGAAGATGAATGTGGCTCTAGAACAGACTCTCTAATAAAAACAATCCTTTTTCACAATCTACATCAAACAAAAATATTCCTAAGCTTAAGAAGGTAGATCACGCCTTTGAAATAATATATACCCTCCAACCACATTCCCGTATAATCACAGAAGTAAGAAATTGCAGGAAAACTGTCTTGTATTAGTGTTCTTCCTCAGCTCTGTGTTTAATTAGGCTCAACTGTACTTGGTGACGTCCGCTGCCATCTAGTGGAAATGAGTTGACATTTTTTAACCAGTGCCTCATTTTTATGGTACTTAAGTTTTCCAAGTGCATTTCATCTTCACAGCAACCTATGAAATAGACATTGTTATTCCAATTTGTTTTAATTTTTAAGAAATACTTAATATTATTGCGCTTACTGTGGTCCAGGCACTATACATGAATGATCTTATTTATTCCCAGTATCAACCTTTCTGACCCATGCATATTGTCTGTGTTATTTCATTTACAGACAAGGAAGCTAAGACTCAGAGAACTTGAGAAACACGCCCTAACTCCAACAGCTAATCAGGATTCAAACCAAGGG